AAAAAAAAAAAAAAAGTTAGAAGAAAAGACATTTACACAAACAAGTACATACCTCTTGCTCTTAAGATTAAAGTTATTGGCTCGTAATATGAAGCCACTGGGACATGATATTGTTGGATATTTATTTTTTTGCGTTGGGTTGGGTACACTGCCATGTGTCCTTGTAACGAAAAATGGTTGCAACGATTGGGGGACTGTTACAGACGGTTATTGTCAACTGTCAACCATCGCGGGGCAAAGCTACCTTCGTTCGTTAGGTCTCTTTCGCCAAGTGAGCCTTATACCATAGGCTAATGAATAAAAGAATCCTTTTTTTTTTCTTTTCAAAATTGTTAAGTATTTACAATAATTATATATATATTAATGGGATCCATATATTTTATATTTTTATATTTTATTTAATCATTATGTTTAAAAATTATCGATAGATTAATTGATATTGTATTTGGTCTTCAAATTTAAAGATTTTGATCTCAAGTTTCATCTTTGTAAAAAATAATTAATTTTTAATATTATTTTTATTATTTAAAATTTTAAAGATAAAAGTGTCTAAAAATACGTACACCAAATAAAGTAAACCCCTTTATTATATGTATTATATATATATATATATATATTATTTGAATATTTATTATTATTATTATTATTATAAAATAAAATTGAATTTAAACAACTTTGTTAATGCAAAATAAAAATATTACAAATAGATAATTTTAAGCTAACTAGGAGAGGTAACAATTTATATCATTAAGAATATTATTACAATTAATATCATAAAAAGAATAGCACATCTAATGAATTATTGCAGTTAGAGGTAGCATTAAACAATTAATCAAAATTTCATTTAGTGCATGTATAGATATCCATTCAGAAGCACATTATTAAAAATATTTTCATCAAATTTGGAAAAGGAGGATATAAGTTATTACTTTCGTTATTTTATAATAGTTGTTTAAGGTTATTTTACATAAATTAAAAAATGTAATATTTTTTTTATTTTTCATAAAATAATTTTAATGTTTCATATTGTATCCTCATTCATTTTTGCTTCATAATAAATGTATATTAGTTGTCATTTGTAAAATAATTAAAAGTTAGATGAGATATAAAAGTATAATTGAAAACACAACTATTAATGTTATCTTAAAATGTGAAAATGATAATTAAATAAAAACAAAATTTTACTAAAAAAATCGACAAGTAAAAAAGAATAGAGAGAATAGATATACTATCTTCGATGTAACCCATATCATTCTTTTTGAATAGTCAATCAAAAAGGACAATAAATATACTTTCAAATCAAAATATATTCAGAGAACCAATTTAGTGTTGACACTTTTTATAATTGAAAACATTTCCAAAATTAATACGAGTGGTTTAGATGATAATATTAAAGACACTCAAATAGTCAACTACTATATTGTCTTAAAAAACAAAAAGATTGAGATGAATCATTTTATTTTTTTCGGAATCCGCTTTATTAATATATAGCTTATTCAAACTCGAAAAATTTATTAAATTAAGTTTACTACCACTTAGACCAATTATAGTTGGTATAAGAACGAAGCTTTAAATAGAAGCAAAGTAAACCTAATGAAAGATTTATGTTGCCACTTGATCCACCTCTAATGAAGTCCCTACCACTCGAGAGAAAGAAAAAAAAAGCTGAAACAAAATTCCTACCTACCATACCAATTCATTCGATCCCACACCAAAAAAAATTGATCATCACTCATGGGAGACACCAAGAAGAAAATAGGTTGAAAGGTGGGCCATCAATCATAAAGTGGCTAACTAGAAGGATGAAGCTCAAATCTGCAGAAAAAAAGAACCAATTTATGGCACTCACTTTCTTTGTCACAGTTAGTTTAGTTGGCATTGCTACTCATAACTCTAGGCACATGCCAGCAATCAACATATGTAAGTATATGATAATACAATTCATGAAACAATAACCTTTGAGTTTCAGGTGCTGCAATTGCCAAAGATGACATGTGATATTGGCACGGCTCAATCAAATAACACAGAGCTTTTGGATCATAAAACACTGCGTTCTGATTGAACCGCACCAATATCCCAAGTTCTTAATTATACGTTTGAAGTCTGATCCTCCACCACTTCCTGCACCTTCTAAAGAAACAACCATTGGTTAATATATATGTATGTGTGATAAGAAAAGCTTACCCCTTGGTAACTCCAATATGTCCTTCACCAGAAAACACAATACATGGAAAGTTTGATGAAGGGTGATGAAGAAGGCAGCATGGAGTAAGTATAGTGTCCTGTGAGATTCTTAAAATATAATGGAAGAGAGAGGGTTGGACAGAGACAGAGACAGAGATGCAGAGCCTTAAATATGGTGGCATTTAATTTGCCAACGACTCAGCAAAGAATAGGAGGGGGCACATTAAATTTTGAGAGTGAAAACAAATGGAGAAAGGCATATTTTGAATTGTGACAAGAAACTGAGTCTAGCTTCCAGGTTTTTATATTTATGACCTCAGAGGGTCTGCTACTGCTGCCAACCACATTTGAAATTCAAATAGGAATTGGCTTTTCGAAAGTTAGTGAGTTAGTGGTTGGTGTGAACATTGTGATTATTTGATTTGATTGAGTCTTCCTAGCTCATTTCATGGATTTTCTATTCAACCCTTTTTATTTGGAACCAATTTCAGTTAACATCTATGTGTGCATAAAGTTTGATTTCGTCAATATCAAACGGATCTTCACTTTCTTCCACATTCAAAGGCAGAGATAGATAGATATACCTGTGAGTGGAGTTAGTTAAAGATAAACAAAGAAACGGTCTTCGGTATAAATCCATAAAAAAAAGCTCATAGGAAAGTATATTCATGAATCATCATTTACAGGGAAGATTTTCCTTTCATTTTATTCTTTTTGGAATATGAGAGGTCTTAGTTGTTCAATTCATGATTAATTAATATTCTTTCTTCTTCAGAAAACATATGAACTGAATCTACAAAATCCACATCATGTGGGAATGTTCAATTCATTATGATGCACTCTTAGGAAAATAGGTGTTGGACTTGGTGGTATACATATATGGAGGTGTTTATATTACCTTAGCTCAAATATGATAGATGCTTGTTTGAAGAAAAGAACTATATAGTACTGTACAAAGTTAAAGTTAAAGCTAATGAATGTTAGACAAAGATACATGAATTTTAACAAACTGTTGTTAAAAGAATTGTTTATGTGGTATTACTCTTTTTGATATAGTTGTGGTGCCAGCTGGTTCTACCTAAATTCCCCTTTTGGTGACAGAAGTAGAATAATAGGTTAGCATTGACAGTGTTAATTAGTTCCCATGCATGCCTGGAGGGACCCTGTGATGTCAACTGTTGCTTCTAGTATTTCCGCC